GATTTAACCCAGGATCAGAGTAAGGGAATTTCTAATATTTAAAGGTCATTCATTGGCCCAAGATTATGTAATGAATGATCCTGCTATCAAAGAAATTCAAAAGACAAAAAAAAGATAAAGCTGCCTAAGGCAAAACGCCAGCAAAGAGCCCTTAACCGTGATGCTGTTACTGAGAATAATGAAAAACACACTTAAGGAAATATTAATGTGTAAATATGTACATATGTAGTCTAGTAAAGCAGGCAAACACTTATCTTTCTGATAAAGACATCTCCTTTTTATTCTAGTCACTTGGGGCCCAGGTCAGTATAAATTGATCAACCTGAAAATTTCAGTAGTCTCTGTCTGCATGGCAGAAATTCTGCACATGTTTTATCTGAGTCCTAAGATTATTTAAAAGGCTCTTTTATGTTAAAAGAGAGGTGAACCTTCTTTGACAGACTTTGTCGATTCCACTTCTAACTGGGCCTCTCTTTTCTCAGGATCTACCCTAGCCAAATATCTCAGTTACATTTACCATATTGTTTCCTTTGTGAAAGAAGCAGTAGGGGAGAAAATAATTCTCTGCTGTGTATTGTATTTTTCAAATAAAAATTTAAAAATTAAAAAAAATAATGTTTGATTTTTTTTTTCCATGTATTGGTTCTTTATTGGGAATGGAGGAATAAAGAATGTTTGTTAATGAACATGTAAGACAGAATTGTCAGAGGGCTTGGAGAGTGTTTGGAAATAAATCACAATGCTCAGCTTAGACCACTTCTATAGGCAGGTAAATGATCCTCTGCATCCCATGGGCCATTCTGGGAGCTTACCCACCTTATTTGCATATCACAACCCTCTGGGAAATAGTCAGGACACTGAACAGGTAGGTATACGATCTACTGCATAATCCTTCCTACGTTTGAGCCAGTCTCTGAGGAATGGATGCAAATGATCTTACTCCTGCCTCTAGGGCACCATTTATTACATTTTGATTGCATGCTCTGAAAAGTTGCCCTGGACACACATCAAATGGCTCTATTTCCACCTCACAAACATTGATCGTTTTGTAATTTGCCAGATATGAGCATTCTAATGAATTCTGTGAATTACGATTTTTTTAAAGTATCTGTTGAGAGAATTTCTCCTGGATTTTAAGGGAATGAGTCTTCTCCTAAGAAGAAAAATTAGACTATTCAAATTTTTCTTTCCTGTTACCTTTACTTCAGATCAACCAAAAGCTCGGCAGTTCGCTTCCACCAGCTGCTCCTTAGAAACGATGGGGCAGTTCTCCTCCGTCCTATATGGTCGCTACGAGTAGGAATCTTCTTGACGGCAATGGGTTTGGTTTTTGGTTTTACCTTAGACTGCAGCTGGTTAGTGTGATAGAGCCTCAGGACATGAGCAAGGTTGAATAAAAACGGAAGTACGCTTCCGCTCTCCCCACCCTTTGTGAGCTATGACTAGGTTGGGGGGAAGAAAAACCCTGCTGCCATCAAGTCATTCACACTCATAGTGGCCAGCAGACAGCCGCATCTTTCTCCCTTGACTGCTCTCTTTCTCTTGAGCAAATTCTGTGGAGTATACCTTCAGAATATATACAGAACCCCAGTACGAGTTACCACCACCATCACTACCATCTTGATGTATGCCACCTTCCATTTCCTCTAATTACTTCATTCCCCACCTGCCACCCCCCACCCCAACCTACCCTACAGCCCTAGAGGAGTTAGAAGTCACAGGTAAAGGCAACTAGAGAAGGGGCTTGCAGAGTTTAGAGATGAAGCCAACAACATATAC